AGGCCGGGAGTGCGGCGCGGCGGCGCGGCTAGGGGGTGAAATTCCTGGGGTGGGGGTGTAGGAGCGAAAGGCCGAGGTCTTGCTGCGAGCGGGCGGAGGGGGGGCTCTTCTCTGCGCCCGGACGGCGCCGCCCCGGGGCTGGTAATGGGGGAGGGGGTAAAGGGGGAGTCGGATTCCCGCCCAGGCCTTGGGCCACGTGGGCGCTGCAGCCGCCCTGCTGGAGATCGGGACGGCTCCGCACCGAGGACAGGGGGGCGCCCACAGCTGGAGTGGAAACTCCTGTGTGACCTTGGGCCGGTCCCCTGCTGTCTCTGAGCCAGGCCTCTCCAAAGAAGGCGTCCAGAAGTCACGAGCCCGTACCCCTGCTCGGCCTGGGCTCTCTTACGCTGCCCGGGGAGGACCGGATGGCTTGACTGTCCCCAGGGTTCACCAGATGGCCCTCAGGAGTCAGAAGCTTGGTGGCCTCTGCAGGTGTCCCCCTGGGGGAAGGACTGCTGCTGGAGCTGGCAGCTTAGCCAGGTGGAGAGAGGCCTCCTCAGCTTCACGGAGCAGAAGCATCTGGCCAGAGACCCACAGCTGGTGGCACTGAGTGGGAGGGGCTGGGCCCACAGCTGGGCCTGGCCACTTGGCTGGGAAGTGGCTTTGGAAATGCATGGGTTCCTGCCAGGCTCAGATGCCCGTAGGTGGGCCGTGGTGGGGTTTGGGGGGCGGTGAGGAGGTCTGTAAGGAAGAAGAGGGTCCCCAGGCGTGGGGTGTGTGGTATGCAGGCCTTTCCTGCCATCATCCATCCCCTCAGTAGTGCAGACACGGGTCACCTGCAGGTGCAGTGACTGGGAATGGTGTGGGGACCGTTTGGCTGGTTCCCAGACCCCACTCTTCCAGCCCACCTTACTCAGAACTCACTCAGCCATCTAACCACTTGGAGTGCCCCAGCCGGAAGGAAGGGGTACCCAAGCAGAGCTGGGTGGCCACAGCTCCAGGAGGCAGTGCCTCTTGGGGCCTCAGTTTCTCCATCTGTGCAGCAGGGATTTGTTCCAGAGGGTGAATCCGAGTGATTCAGAGAAGGACAGATGGGCGGAGCTCCATGCCACGTCCCAGCTAGATGGGCCAGCAGTTCTGGGGTAGAGTCAAAGATGGGTGGCTCTTGGGTGATGGAAGGAACGTGAGGAAGGTGATATTCGTTGTCGGCAGAGCTGAGGGCAGAAAGTTGGTATGTGCTGGGCTGCTCTCTGGAAG